CACTTGGACATATCCATGCAAAAATTACTACGGGTCAGAATCTCCTGAGTATTTGACGAAGTCTTTAGGGAAGTCGAAGTCACATGGCTTTCGACAGTCACGGATCCTTGGAATGAAAGGGCTCTTATCAACGATCATTCCTATCATTCTCTACATTGACTCGTGAATGGAGGCGCTCTGTTGCCATAGTTCTCTTGTAGTCGAGGGATGAAGGGTTCTTCTGGTCACGAATCATCATAATGATATCGACCGTACCGAGGGTATCTTGTGTCTTGATATGTGTCATGGTGATCGCGATAGGACCTTTCTTGGGAAGCCTTGGGTCGTAAGCAGAAGTGCACATTGCCTCTCAGTGGGGGATCCCAATTCCTTTCTGACAACAACTTGACACTAGGAGAACCTTGACAGTGTTGGTTGCGAGATTACTTCTTGCGCTAATGCTCTTTCGTGAATTGCTCGAGTGCTGTGTAGAATGCTGGATATGCTCTTCAAAATGAGTACCATAAGGTCGCACTAGGGTTGGCAGAGAACTCTACCTGGGAAGTCTCATGGCTGGAGGCTTCTCTGCGAGCTTCTCACTGCAGAGAACTCTACCGGAACTTTGCGTTTACCATTTTCTTTTCAAGCAAATTCAGTGCCTGTGCGCTTCTTTCTCATCAATCAGGTCATGTATCTCCTGATCCTTAGGATCGGGAAGACCCACCAAGCAACAACGTTTGTATTCCTCCAATATATACTTTTCTTCCTCTGATTGAGGTTGTTATCATCTCTCAACTTTTTGAGTTTCACATCAATTTCGGCCAATCGTTCCTCATCATGTGGATCGGGGCCCTTGCGATGATTTCTCATATCTTCCTCCCTTTCATCCCTGGGACTACATGGTCCCGTGAGAGTCTTTTGTTCCCTCGACCGTCGGTCATTCCTTTTGCGCTTCTACCTCGCTCAGAATTTTGGTATCGTTGTCATCAGGGCTTGGCTGCCTGCCTGTTGACGCTGTACTAGATTGAGGTATGTTGATTACGACCATCTTGTTTAGGAAAGAACTCTAACTGGCAGTGGCGATCAAAGGTTGAGAAAAGTTTCGAAAGTTTGAGAAAACTTGGTGACACAAACCCTAATTGTCGGGTCCCACTGGGCGTGCCATTTGACGAAACTTGGATTTGCTCCTCCAGTTCAACAGTGGAACGCCGATTACGGTTTCTTGCAAAAGAGGGCATTGGGGGTCTCCCGAGGGTAAATACTGTGATTCTTAAGTTAGGAAAAGGGTTTAAGAATCGTGTATCAGTAGTGTTTTGTGCTACAGATAGCGTACCCTTGTGGTGTGACCAACCCTATTTATAGGCATGAAATTACCTTGATGAAAGCCAAATCTCATTAGGTTTCCTGTTCTAGAACCGCCTCTGGTTAAGGTCACGTTAGACCATAATTGGCGGATGGGCCAGCCCAATAATTCTCGACGGATATGGACTCGTCACTCTTCACAATTTCACTTCTTATTTCGAGCATTACAATATCAATTCGCAGCATCAATCTCAAAAGAACATATTGGCAAAAGATGAAGATTAAGTGAATGGAACAATGCCTCATGGTCGGTCGATGCTTTGATGCAAATGTGCAATGTCATCTATCCTTAACTAGAAATTAAATGTGCTAGGTTATTTTCTCATTTTCCTTCTTTTTATTTCTCTTGATATAAATTACCGTGTGAAATTGTGGTTTAACTAAGGGACCCTTTTTTATTATTAGTGTAAATCATTCACTTCAAACTCTCATTCATATTTAACTACAAATGAATTTTGTTTAGAAGGAGAGACACAAATGCCGAAAGTTAAAAGGAACTAAAGTCATATTTTGCAAATTATCATTTGTGAAGCATGGCCTAGATTTGATTCGCGAATAGGGGGAGAAAGTTTACAAGGTCAGAGCAAGACTCAAAATTCATGCATTATTTCCTCTGCATTTTGGCTATCTCCTTGAAGATGGAGGTTCTGCTGTCTTCCAAGATTGGTGACTTTTCACTTGTATCATGGTACTACTACTAGCTAGGAATTAAATCCGTATTGGTTTTTGTCATTGTAAGATATTGATTATAGTAGGGCCTTATATTGTCCTACTTTGCCCATGTTTTATTTTGGTAAATTTATGTTTAAATTACAGTAGCTTGTTGTTCTTTTACAAATGTAAGAATTATTTTAATCCCCAATCTGGCGGAATTTATATGCGGTGAGATGTTAAGTATTCAAACGAAACCTCCATTTAAATATCTCCCTCTTTCACACTGAAATGTGACTTTATTTAGCCTCGTCCATTTAAGCAAAGTTACAAATAGATTACATTACAAAAATTCACATAATATATTTAAAATATTATAATGTTTTAATTAATGGGCATCACACAAATATGCGCGGTGTCAAAATTAGTTTTTTGTTTTTTTAAAGGACCAGATGCACTTTCGTCCCTCAATTTTTTGGGACAGTAAGATCGAGTCACCATGAATTTTCAAGTGTCAAAAATAGTCTTCTAAATTTTTTTTGTCATCAATTTTGATCAATTTAACAGAATTTTTGAAGAATTAACGGTCAAACATTCTTTTCCGTTAAATTTTTAATTTTTTATTAATTTTTATATGAATGGTAGGGCCCGCTAATTTGATCCAACGAAAAGATCTTTTCTTTTTATTAAGATTTTAGATCACAATCAAAAATCAAAAATTAAAAAAAATCATGGCAGCTCACCCCTGCCGCCGCCACCAACTCCCCGACCTCCTCCCCGCCGCCGCCACCTCCTCATTCGGAATCAAGATCACCTCCTCATTTTCTCCAGTCCCACCACCACCACCCCACAGCCAATGTCACAACTCCCATTTGAACCTCTTCTTCTTCTCCTTCAAACTCAGGCACCCATTTTCTGTTTTTCGGACGTTGTCTTTGCCATTCTCTAATTCAATACCGTGTAGGAAGATTTTTATCTTTGTTTTGAATTGGGATTTCTCGTTGTTGATTTCGTCCGGAATTCCTTTTTTTTTCTCCAGAACGGGGTTAGAAGACATGCAACGAGATTCTTTTTGGTAAATGTGCTGTAGCTTAGATCTTGGCTCCTCAATTTGGTCCTTTTAAGCATTTCTGGAAAGCCCCTTTTCCTTGCTTGATGCTTTCATCTCATTCAGTATCGATTGATCCCTTTTGGGTAATGGTTTCATGGGCTTTTGGTTGAATTTCCCATCCAATTTGTTTATCAGATAGGATTTTTATTTTCTTACTTCAACTATTATACCCACACCAAAAGTAGCAAAGTTTAGAAAACTAAAGTTTAAGATAACAAGAATTCTTTCTTGCCCACCGGGACTATCCTCGGTTCTCTGTAACCAATCCTCCTCCCAGAATTTTCCTTCGATTCAATTGAAATGGGCTTTCTTAACTTACCTAAAAAGGGTTTCAGGATCTGATTTTCACCGGGATTCTTGGAGGTCAAAGTGCGCTTATCAGATCCCGCCTCCAATCAAACTTTCTGATGGAGTGGAGGAAGCTCGGTGCGGTGAAGCAGAGAGGAGGGAATATGTTCGAAGAAGATTGAGAAGGAGACACCTTAGAAGTGATGTCAATCCTTAGATTCCGATTTTGGTCCCAAATTTGTTTTTGTTTTGGTTGTTCTTCTGGTGGCGGTGGTGCTAATCTGCCCCTGGGAGGGGAATGTGATCTTGATCCCGAATGAGATGTTGGCTAAGACGTACAAACAAGTTTCTAATCAAGTTGTGAAGCTTTATTTAAAAGAAGATTGTTCAAAAACTTGTATTTCTTCGTAAACTTGATTCTCCACCTTCCAAAAACCTGACTTTTAGCTTAATTCTTCCAATCAATTACGCCATTCCACTTTTGTATGCTGTTGAGGCCATGACAATTTTACCTGACCAAATTGAGTGTTCATGTTCCAATAATGAAATGGCAGTATCGATCATCCGGACAATAATTTTATTTTAAAAAGGAAGTACTATGTATGACTTCACATTAAAATGGAAAAGGAAAAAGATACAGTAGTTATTTATATGGACGAAAAAACTTTCATTATGCCTTTAATTTGTTTTTTTTTTTTTTTTGAAAAACATTCCTCAACAAAGACCTTTGGGACCCAAAATCCATTAAGAAATTAATAAAAAATAAAGATTTAACGGAAAAATGAATTGGGCCATTAAGATTTTGAAAATTCCGTTGAAGTGACTAAAATTGTTCAAAAAAAAGGATATTAGGGGACTGATTTTATTGTTTGAAAAAACATTACGGGTCCCAATTCAGTAAAAAATTAATAAAAAATTAAAAACTTAACCGAGTTAAGAGTCGATCATTAGTTGACCATAAATTCCGTTAAGTGGAGTAAAATTGGTGAATAAACAAAAAGATTGTATTCAATTTTGTCTGCCAAAAATTAATGGTGACTCGTAGTTGTGACTCCCCAAAATTTAGGAACCAAAAGTTTATTTTGTCCTTTATAATAACAAGATGATGTCCTATCCGAACTGGGTGGATAGTTTAGCATCTCCCTGTTTAAGAATGATTTTCTCTTCTCACGTTGATTCGGTTAAAAAGGAAAAACGAAATACAGGAGGCATTTGTCCTACCTATTACATCACTTGCTAGGGAATTAAACACAAAATTTGACAAGAAAAACGGAAATATATTACCTCAAGTCCAAAATACGTATCATTATAAGAAAATTCATATATACCTCAAAACGGATTGATAACGTACGCGTATAGATTGTTAGGAAGTAGAGGATGAGAACAACATTCACGAACTTGACTAAACTATTTTTCGGTCAACTCACGTGCATGACCTTTGGTTTTTTTATGAAACCCTAACGGAAAACTAAAAACATACACCTTTTCATGTTATGCCACAAAATAATAATGTTTATAGTTTCTAAAAACTACATCACAGAATTTGAGATACTCCTGGAGTAATTTATTGTTAGCCGCTCTCGGCACACGCGGCTAACGTGCGCCTGCCATGGCAGGCCGGAAGAAGAAGGGGAAAGCACCTCAGCCTCAAGTAGAGGAGAGAAACCAGAGTATAAGTGAGAACAAAAAAGGTCGAGAGGATGTTAGCGTGGATAGATCTAAATAGAAGAAGGGTGAAATTAGGGTTCCAGATTTGCAATCAGAGGAGTTAGCGAGATTTGGGGATGAACTTCAAGATTCATCTGTTAATAGCAAGGAAGCAGTTAAAGAGATTTCCAATTTGACTACACCAGCAGAAGTAAAGGGTTCTCACATGCGTCAATCCCCCAGTGTTGGGCATAGCAGTGGAAAGAGGCAAGACGAAATTGAGCTACTTGGGCGAGATCTAACTGCTAAGCGCCAACTGCAATGGTCAGAAATGATAGAACGAGAAGAGAAGCAAGGAGTGTGGGCTAAGAATGATACCAGTAAATTCAAAGCACCCTCAGGAAAATTGCAGTTCATACCGCCAAAGGAGGTGGCAGGTCAGAACATTGTTCAGATGCAGATGGAGGATGTTAAAACTAAAGCGGAGTACTGGGAATCTTCCATTGCATGTTTTGTACTGGGTGCTCATCCACCAATAGGTGTTATGGAGAGATATTTCCAGAAGCTCTGGGGAAACCTAGGCATTGATAAGGTAATTCTCTTGCCTAGTGGCTTTTTGTTGTCAGATTTACCACCTTGAATGCTAGAGATACAATGCTAAATGTGAATTTATACCATTTTGGGTCAAAGCCCTTAATTGTGAAAGCTTCGGATGTAGAAAAAGGGATCAATTATAATGATGTTGAGTATGTTCCCATATGGATATGTTTATATGGCTTGGAAGTTAAATTCTGGAATCTTAATTCTCTAAGTAGATTGGTAAGTGCAATTGGAACTCCAATTTTAGCAGATGATTATACTGTTAGAAAGGAGAGAGTTCAGTTTGCTAGGATACTGGTTGAAATGAAAATAGCAGCTAATGTACCTGATAAACTGGTCTTTGAGGATGAGAAAGGGAATGTGAAGGTACAGAAAATTGTCTATGAATGGCTCCCCACTAAATGCGACCATTGTTCGAAATATGGCCACCTCACTGATAAGTGGATAAACCCAAACAACCAGTGGCAACTTGGAAAAAAGTGGAAAAGAAGGATGAAGGACGAAGCAACGCTGCCAAGACTATAGCAACTGATGACAACCAGAGGAATCCAATATTGAGAAGAAAAGATCAATCCCCAGGTAAGTTCTATCAATAATAATAGGCAGCTTGCAAATAGCCTTCATGAGGAAGGAAACCTAGAGAAGAAAAAAGGGGACCAGAGCGGTGAAGATGAGAATATGGTAATTAATGTGGAGAGTTCTATAAGCATAGGAGCAAAGGAGGGATTAGTTATAGATCCTGGTCGAAGTTCCTATGAGTAGCATAATCTCATGGAATGTAAGGGGTCTCAACTCTCCCCTTAAGCAGCAAGAAATCTGCAAAAGAGTGAATGACCGGAAAAACAGTATGATATGTTTAGTGGAAACAAAGATGACCAAACAAAGAGGAGAACAATTTTTGCAAAATCGCTGGAAGGGTTGGGAATGGTGCACTAACTACAATAGCCATGAACGGGGAAGGATAATGGTGTTATGGAACAACGACATAGAGGTAAAAGTATTAAGTAAGAGTTCATAGATGATTCATGCCTTCTGCAAGATAAAGCAAGGAGGCAGGCCGTTTTATTTTACTAGAATTTATGCATCAATTGAACAGGAGGAAAGATCACAGCTATGGATGACGTTAATAGGGCTCTCAAAAAGTATTGGAGACCTCTGGTTAATGATGGGGGATTTCAATAACATCTTGAAGCCTGAGGAAAAAACTAGGAGGGAAGCCTGTAGTGCTTCAGGACTTTGAATGTGGTTTACGGGATCTAACCCAGAAAGGGAAGATGTTCACATGGTGCAACCAAAGAGTAGGAACTAAAAGGATATACGCTAAATTAGACAGAGCACTAGTCAATTGGATTAACCAATATGCAGATTCTATAGCAACATTATTGATGGAAGGAGTATCGGATCACTCACCACCTGAGGTCCAGTTCAAGGTAGAAATGCAGAAGAGGAGTGCTTTTAGATTTTTTAACATGTGGTGTCTATCCACTGAATTTCATAGAACAGTGGAAAGGAGTTGGGCAGAAAACGTTGAAGGCACTTGTGTGTATCAATTATGCAAGTAATTGAAGAGGTTAAATTATCCGTTGAAGAATCTTAACATACTACAATTTGCAGACATTGTGGAGAAAGCAAACAGAGAAGAGATGCAACTGGAAGTGTTACAACAAAATCTCAGCCTCGATCCCGGTGACGTTGATTTGCAGGTTGAAGAACGTAAATTGTATAACCAGTATGTAATGTCCAGAAAAGCTTCAAAATGTTTCTTGCAGCAGAAAACTAGGGAAAAATGGCTTGGTGAAGGTGATGCCAATACGAAATTCTTTCATACGTCTTTGTGGAACCGATTTTTTCATAAATTTGATCATTGTCATCTGAATAAGCATCACATTCATACAGTCGCTCTTTCTCTGGGGAACAAAATCTCGGAGGAAGATCCTCTTCCATTTATGCTCCATCACAAACTCCGTTTGTTTCAGCTCCCAGAGGAGAGATTTCCTTGGATGGCTCGTCCCACCGATCCTTGTGCTTACGTTAACTTCATGATTCAAGGGAGCGGCTAGATTACAGTTGACTGAATGGTTCCTTCTAACTTTAATGACGATTGGATGAATAAGATGAATAATAATTGTAGTTTAGATTAATGTTGTACCAAAACAAAACAAGCCAATTATACTGAGTAAACTCTACATTACCTGTGTCTCGTTGAATCTGTTACAATTTATATTGATATTATCAAGGAAAAAATGAAATAAATTATGTATGACCGGCCACTCAAAAATGTAACCTTACATTTTTCAATGATGAACTCATACTCAATCACGAAATAATTCATACAACCACATGTATAATAATTTTTGTTTATTGTTTATTTTTTCTTGGATGTTGGGGATCATGGGAGTGCAGAGTGGGCTTTTGCACCCCAATATCAAGAATGAAAAGACCTTGCACGCTATCCCCTATTGGAATTCTAGATTGTAAGATATTTGTTGAGAGGGAACATAGTTCAAAGTAGAAGAGTGATTTTGAAAAAAAAAGACAACCGATTCATTTGCTCTTGTTTAATTTCTAATTGTGGTGTCAATCTATCATTTGGAGAAGAAAAGGAAAAAAATATTGTTAGCTTGGAGGAGGCGTGGCAACGGAGGGGACGGAGCGGCAAAGACAGCAGTTGAGGTGGTGAACACTGAAAACATAGAGGTTAACGAGGCAGATGCAGCAAGCGTTGGCAGTGGGGGAGGTGGATCAGATGGCCGGAGAGAGGGAACAATGGAAATCAGTAGAACTGAGAACTCTGAAGAGTTGAGATCATCAAGCTCTGACGATGATTTGGTTGAAGCAGAAGGTCACAATAATGGAGGAGATCACGGTGGTAGGGATCACGTAGATGGAATGGAAACGAAGAAGAAAAGAAATACCACAGACAATTTATCCGAGAAATAAGTAAGTGGGTTCTTATATTGTATTGATTTTGCCTAGTTAATTTTCAAGGAATTAACTAAGTAAAGAACCGGATATGCAGGTGATAATTATTTTAATTTTAATTTTGAGACATGTTACCATGTTTCTCATCCATGAGCACATGATACGCACGCAATTGTGATTGGTTGAATTTTAAGGGGATGGTTCTGTAAAAAAAAGGTACGAGATAATATATATATATAGTAACTAAATGGTATGTATATTGAATGTTGTGACCGGTCCAGTCTTGTTTGGAAGCCGGCTCTGTATTATGAAATTGCAAAAATAATTGATACTTCTGTTTTTTCGTTTCTGGATGCACTGGTTTCTTAGAAAAATTTATAAACCACTAGTGAGAAGAAGCCGCAACCCAGTATCAATGTTTTGAACTGAGCCTTTAACACCCTCTATTTCTACTTGTTGATAGCGGACCCTGAGTATGACAACTAATAATCTATATACAGTTTTTTCTTTCTATCTTTTCATGAATCATATCAATCTTAGGACAAAACACCATAGTTTCCAAGTGATAGTTTCTTATTTTCTTTTTTCTTTCCCTTCTAAATATTTAACTGACAAGGTTTTAACATTCAATCTCCTAGTAAAAAGAACTTCGTACCCTATCATTTAAACTTACCTACTTTGCTATCCACAGTACATAATTAAAACAGTATACAAACTGCTGATGTGTCAACACCACAAAAAAAAACTTTTCCTGCAAAGGCTATTTTCAGTACAAAATCGTTTGACATGTGCCACTCTAACTATTCAGAAAAAAAGGATAAAATAAATAAATAAATAAATCCCTCAATTATAACTACATCCTAATCATTTAATTATAGCTTACTAATCCCTTAAAAGTTAAAACAGCAACATTGATAAAATCAAATGTCAAATTATCCCCTTAAATCATTTATTCAGATTAACTCAAACGTCAAATAAATAATTTGATTAAGAATGTATGTATGCCTCCCTTTTAGCAATGATAACAACCATTGATTCAAATACTTACAAGTTAGCCAGAGTCATCGTCATCAACTGGAAAACAATGCAACCAAACCATCCACTTATCACCCAACGCAATTCATATAATCGTTAATTGAAAATCAAACTTAACCCAATCATAGCCATGTTATCATCATAATAAAAACTAATCAATAATCAACAATCCGGGGAAGAAGTTACAATTGGAGAGGGAGCATCAAAATAAAAAATCGTATCTACGGGCCCTTAACTTTTTCCGGTGCTTTGGAAATGAAAGGGTGGAAATCGACAGTTTGACACTAGCATATCGCTGAAAAATGGCTTAAATAGAAAAAAAAAAACGTTAATGCAGCAAAAGAGCGAAGATAGGCAGTCCATTACATTCAAAAAAGGGGAAAAAAAAGGCAAGCTATGAACATAGATTCGACCAATAGAACATGATAAAGGTAATAAAAATAAGGCAAACACGTGAAGATGAATAAAAAAATCACCATTAAAGAAATTTTTGCTTACATTGATCCAAGGAGTTGAAATTACAAAAGATTGCTTAATTTTCACTCTGATTGATGACATGCTCACCCTTAAACTACACAGCTAATTTAACACTTCGCATAAACTTGTGCATTACTTAACCAATCACTCTTCCTACTACAAAAAGGAGCAATATTTGATGCCATTGAATAGGGGAATCAAAGTGAAAGGGTAGAAATTAAGAATTTGACACTAGCAGATCTCAGAAAAATGACATAAAGAGAAAGAAATGTTAATGCAGTAAAAGAGCGAAGAAAGGAAGTCCATTACATTAAAAAAAGGGCAAAAAATAATAGAAAATTATGAACATGCATGCAACAAATAGAACATGCAGAAGGTAATAATAATATGACCAACACGTTTAGATAAGCAAAAATGCACCTTTTAAGAAATTTTATATTCGTACCATAATGTTCTTGACACGCATTCAGAAAATTTTTTTTTTCTTCATATATGTTTAAAAAAAAAAGAAAAAGAAAAGGAAGATACAGGACATGGGGATCATCGACATTGTATTAAGATCGGACAAATTGAGATGTTATTGTCAATGGATGTATGCGAAAAAAAATTGCTAATTGTAGCCAAAAACACAGTCTTTATTTTTAATGAGTTTAATATTTATAAAATTAAAAAAAGGATATTTTCTCATGCTGGGATAATGCAACTAACGCGCCCATGTTGGGCGCATGAGTTGCACGCGCTCCTGATGTTATCGAACAAACGATAATTACGAATTTCAGTTGATCTAATTTCTTGGTCAAACTGTGACCAAATCATTACTTACTATTTTGACAATTTGAAAACCCAATCCGAACCAAACCACATTGAATGGTTTAGATCGATCGGTTTTGCTGTTCAGGGCTTAAAGATTGCCTTTTGTGTCTTGTATTGGTTTGGGCCTTCATATATTGTCCTTAAAGGGAAAAAAAGAATGATGAAACATTAGTTATCAAGGGCAGAACAACAAGAATGAGGAAATATTGGTAAGAAATTACTTCGATTACCACGAGAGCTTCGTTACACATGTGCTACGGGTGCACATAAATTACAAATTATATAGACGGGCATAGGCACTCCACAAGCAATAGGGAAGCGTGGAATAAATCTTTGTTGTACATGTCCAAACAGTACACCACCAGGGTGCTTTGTGGAACCGATTTTTTCATAAATTTGATCATTGTCATCTGAATAAGCATCATGTTCACGCAGTGGCTGTTTCTCTGGGGAACAAAATCTCGGAGGAAGATCCTCATCCATTTCTGCTACATCACAAACTCCGTTTGTTACTTTTCCCAGAGGAGAGATTTCCTTGGATGGCTCGTCCCACCGTTTCTTGTGCTTACGTTTACTTCATGATTCAAGGGAGCGGCTAGATTATAGTTGACTGAATGGTTCCTTCTAACTTTAATGACGATCGGATGAATAAGATAAATAATAACTGTATTTTAGAATTATGTTGTACCAAAACAAAATAAGCCGATTATACTGAGTAAACTCTTCATTACCTGTATCTCATTGAATATGTTACCATTTATATTGATATTATCAACGAAAAAAATGAAATAAATTATGTATGACCGGCAACTCAAAAATGCAACCTTACATTCTTCAATGATGGACTCATACTTAATTACGACATAATTCATACAACCACATGTATAATAAATTTCGTTTATTGTTTATTTTTTCTTGGATGTTGAGGATCATGGGAGTGCAGAGTGGGCTTTTGCAGCCAAATATCAAGAATGAAAAGACCTTGCACGCTATCCCCTTTCGGAATTCAAGATTGTAAGATATTTGTGGAGAGGGAACATAGTTCAAAGTAGAAGAGAGATTTCGAAAAAAAAAGACAACCGATTCATTTGCTCTTGTTTAATTTCTGATTGTGGTTTCAATGTATCATTTGGAGAAGAAAAGGGAAAAAATATTGTTAGCTTGGAGGAGGCATGGCAACGGAGGGAACAGAGGGGCAAAGGCAGCAGTGGAGGTGGTGACCACTGAAAACATAGAGGTTAACGAGGCTGATGAAGCAAGCGTTGGCAGTGGGGGAGGTGGATCAGGCGGCCGGAGAGAGGGAACAATGGAAATCAGTAGAACTGAGAACTCTGAAGAGTTGAGATCATCAAGGTCTGACGATGATTTGGTTGAAGCAGAAGGTCACTATAAGGGAGGAGATCACGGTCGTAGGGATCACGTAAATGGAATGGAAAAGAAGAAGAAAAAGAAATACCACAGACAATTTATCCGAGAAATAAGTAAGTGGGTTCTTATATTGTAGTAATTTTGCCTAGTTAATTTTCAAGGAATTAACTAAGTAAAGAACGGGATATGTAGGTGATAATTATTTTAATTTTAATTTTGAGACATGTTACCATGTTTCTCATCCATGAGCACATGATACGCACGCAATTGTTATTGGTTGAATTTTAAGTGGATGGTTCTGTAAAAAAAAAAAGGCACGAGATAATATATATATATATATATATATACTAACTAAATGGTATGTATATTGAATGTGTGACCGGTCCGGTCTAGTTTGGAAGCCGGCTCTGTATTATGAAATTGCAAACATAATTGATACTTCTGATTTTTCGTTTCTGGATGCACTGGTTTCTTAGAAAAATTTATAAACAGCTAGTGAGAACAAGCCGCAACCCAGTATCAATGTTTTGAACTGAGCCTTTAACACCCTCTATTTTTACTTGTTGATAGCGGACCCTAAGTATGACATCTAATAATCTATATACAGTTTTTTTTTTCTATCTTTTCATGAATCATATCAATCTTAGGACAAAACACCATAGTTTCCAAGTGATAGTTTCTTATTTTCTTTTTTCTTTCCCTTCTAAATATTTAACTGACATGGTTTTAACATTCAATCTCCTAGTAAAAAGAACTTCGTACCCTATCATTTAAACTTACCTACTTTGCTATCCATAGTACTTAATTAAAACAGTATACAAACTGCTGATTTGTCAACACCACAAAAAAAACCGTTCCCTGCACAGGCTATTTTCAGTACAAAATCGTTTTTCACATGTGCCACTCTAACTATTCAAAAAAAAAGGATAGAATAAATAAATAAATAAATTCCTTAATTATAACTACATCCTAATCATTTAATTATAGCTTACTAATCCCTTAAAAGTTAAAACAACAACATTAATAAAATCAAATGTCAAATTATCCCCTTAAATCATTTATTTAGATTAACTCAAACTTCAAATAAATAATTTGATTAAGAATGTATGTATGCCTCCCTTTTAGCAATGATAACAACCATTGATTCAAATACTTACAAATTAGCCAAAGTCATCGTCATCAACTGGAAAACAATATAACTAAACCATCCACTTATCACCCAAAGCAATTCATATAATTGTTAATTGAAAATCAAACTTAACCCAATCATAGCCATGTTATCATCATAATAAAAACTAATCAATAATCCACAATCCAGGGAAGAAGTTACAATTATAGAGGGAGCATCCAAAGAAAAAATCGTATCTACGGGCCCTTATCTTTTTCCGGTGCTTTGAAAATGAAAGGGTGAAAATCGACAATTTGACACTAGCATATCGCTAAAAAATGGCTTAAATAGAAAAAAAAAACGTTAATGCAGTAAATGAGCGAAGAAAGGCAGTCCATTACACTCAAAAAAGGGCAAAAAAAATGGCAAGCTATGAACATAGATTCGCTCAATAGAACATGCTAAAGGTAATAAAAATAAGGCAAACACGTGTAGATGAATAAAAAAATCACAATTAAAGAAATTTTATATTCGTATCACAAGGTTCTTGACACGCATTTGGAAAACAAGAGTTTATTTTATCTATGTTTAAAAAAACTGAATAAGAAAAGAAGATACATGACATGGGGATCACCGACATAGTTTTATCATCGGACAAACATAGATGTTATTGTAGATGTATGCGAAAAAAAATGCTATTTTTAGCCAAAAACACATTCTATCTTTTTTAATGAATGGAGAATATTTTAAAAGTTAAAAAAAGAAAATTTCTCATCTACTCATGTTTTGGGAGCGTGCAGCTGACGAACCCTTCATGGGCACGTGAGTTGCATGCGACCGTGTTGGCGCCGAACAAACGGTATGAACGAATTTCAGTTGATCCGCTTTTTTTTTTTTTAGGCCAAACTGTGGCTAAATCATACTTACTATATTGAAAATTTAAAAAAAAATTCCTGATCAAAGACCTTTGGGACCCACAATCTATTAAGAAATTAATACAAAATAAAGATTTAACGGAAAAATAAATTCGGCCATTAAGTTTTTGAAAATTCCGTTAAAATGACTAAAGTTGTTGAAAAAAAAGATATTAGGGGACTAATGTTTTTGTTTGAAATTCATTGCGGGTCCCAATTCAGTAAAAAATTAATAAAAAATTAATAACTTAACCAAGTTAAGAGTAGATTATTAGTTCACCATAAATTCCGTTAAGTGGAGTAAAATTGGTGAATAAACAAAAAGATGGTGAACAATTTCATCTGTCAAAAATTAATTGTGACTCGTAGTTGTGACTCCCCAAAGTTTTGGGACCAAACGTTCATTTTGTCCTTTATAATAACACGATGATCTCCTAGCCGAAATGGGTGGATAGTTCTGCATCTCCCTATTTAACAATGATTTTTTCTTCTCGCGTTGATTCGGTTAAAAAGAAAAAACGAAATACAGGAGGCATTTTGGCTACCTATTACATCTCTTGCTAGGGAATTAAACACAAAATTATAGAAGAAAAATTGAAATATATTACCTCAAGTCCAAAATACGTATCATTATAAGAAAATTCCAAACATATACCTCAAAACGGATAGATAACGTACCTGTATAGATTGTTAGGAAGTAGAGGACGAGAAAAACATTCACGAGCTTGACTAAAATGTTTTTCGGTCAACTCACGTGCATGACCTTTAGTTTTTAATGAAACCCTAACGGAAAACTAAAAACGTACACTTTTTCATGTTATGCCACCAAATAATAACGTTTATAGTTTCTAATAACTACATCATGCAATTTTGACATACTCTTGGAGTAATTTATTGTAAGAAGATAGAATAAAAAAACATATTCAATTAATGTAATTTGAATCAGAAAAAAGTTTTGTCCCGGATACATTTTGTCAACTTTGACAATTTCTTCTGGATCAGTGCTACGGCTAGAGATAACAATCACAATCTTGCTAAATATGCACAAGAAATTCAATACACACCTAAAAATGACATATCTTTCGACAAAAAAATGAAATTTCTTAATTATACTTAACTAATTAATTTAGCCAAAAAAAATACACATAAACACTTGTTTAGACCAAAATGAATACAGAAAAGAGAAAGAATCTAAATAAAAGGCTTACATTTGAGCAACACGGAGCAATATTAGATCAGCAAGATTGATAGGGAAAGAAAAACTTAGAAACAAAATAACATAATTTTATTTCATTTTTGCTAGTAAAACATGTACCCCATTGGTCATTTTAAAAATAATCCAAGACGGAAGGAGTATAATGATAAAATAAGACTATGATAACAAAAAAGGAGAAGAAGATTGATCAAAGTATATAATTATTTGGCTTTTCTCGTACGTTGACCCAAGGAGATGAAACTGTTAAAAATTGCTTAATTTTCACTTGCATTGATAACATGCTTATCCTCAAACTACGCAGCTAAGTTGACACTAGGCATAAACATGTCCACTACCTTCCTAATCACTCTTCCTACTACCACAAAAGAATCAATATTTGATGCTATTGACGGGGGAAACAAAATGAAAGGGTAGAAATAGAATGTTCCAGATGAGTAGATATCTGAAAACGGCTTAAAGAGAGAAATGACAATGCAATAAAAGATCAAAGAAAGGCTGTGAATTATATATAAAAAAAAAGGCATAAAAAAATGGTAAGTTATGAACGTAGATGAAACCAATAATACATGCATAAGGTAGTAAAAATATGGCAAACACTTCTAGACGAACAAGAAATCTCCATTAAATAAATTTCACATTTGTATCATAATGTTCTTGACATGCATTCAAAAAATAAAATTTTTTCTTTATACATGTTTTAAAAAATGAAAAAGAAAAAGAAGATCACATGGGGATCATCGACATAGTTTAACATTGGACAAATGGAGATGTTATTGTCAATGGATATATGCAGAAAAAAATGTTAATTAATTTTAGTCAAAAACATATGCTCTTTTTTGGATGAGTGGAAAATAGTTTTAAAATTAAAAAAAGGAAATTTCTCTTCCACTCCCGATTTGGAAGCGTGTAACTAACGCGGCCCATGCTCGCCGCATGTGTTGCACGCACTAGTGTTGGTATCGAAAAAATGGTGTAACAACTGATGCAAGTATCATGTTCTTCATTATAATACAAGATAACCTTCTTGCCCTCCGTTTTTTATTGCCTCAAGATTCAAGTTCTCTTCTTTTTCAATCAATTTATTCTGTCTTCACTGGCCATTCAAGTGACTATTTGGCCCTCCATGATTTTTAATTCTCTTCGCCGAAAATGGTTATCCCCTGTCGTTTGACGCGGCGGACAACTTACAACTACTACTTTTTTTTTTCTTTTTGCAACCGGAATTGGTTCGGAATTAGGTTATCTCCATATAGATATTTGTTGATGCTTCCAGCCTCTCTATTTTATCTAACCACTAGGGGTCCGTTTTCAGACAAAATGAATAACAAAAAAGAGAAAGAATCCAAATAAAAGGCTTACATTTGCTCCCATTCTCTGTAGGTAGCCTCGCTGGGAACTGGAGGATGATAATTTATCATCATCTGCACAACATCAATACATCCAGAGCAGTATCAAATCAGCAAGATTGATGGGGAAGAAAAACATAGAAACACAATAACATAATTTTATTTCATTTTGCTTGTAAAACTTTTACCCCATTCCTCATTTAAAAATAATCCAAAACGGAAAGAGTGTAATGAAAAAACGTGACCATGATAACAAAAAGAAGAATTAATAGGACCTAACTAAGAGTACTCTGGATTTGATCAAAGTATAGAATTTATTTGGATTTTTGCTTACATTGATCTGAGGAGTTGAAATTACAAAAGATTGCTTAATTTTCACTCGGATTGATGACATGCTTATCCTTCAACTACGCAGCTAATTTAACACTTCGCATAAACTTGTCCACTACTTAAACAATCACTCTTCCTACTACCACATAAGGATCAATATTTGATGCCATTGAATAGGGGAATCAAAGTGAAAGGGTAGAAATTGAGAAGTTGACATTAGTAGATCTCAGAAAAATGACATAAAGAGAAAGAAATGTTAATGCAGTAAAAGGGCGACGAAAGAAAGTCCATTAAATTCAAAAAAAGGAAAGAAATAATAGCAAATTATGAACATAGATGCAACCAATACAACATGCACAAGGTAATAAAAATATGGCCAACACGTTTAGATAAACAAAAATGCACCTTTTAAGAAACTTTATATTCGTACCATAATGTTCTTGACATGCATTCAGAGAATAAAAGTTTTCTTCATATATGTTTTAAAAAAAGAAAAAGAAAAGGAAGATATAGGACATGGGGATCATCGACATTGTATTAAGATCAGGCAAATTGACATGTTATTGTCAATGGATGTATGCGAAAATTTTTTTTTGCTAATTTTAGTCAAAAACAAAGTCTATTTTTATAATGAGTGTAATATTTTTAAAATTAAAAAAAGAAAATTTCTCATGCTGGGAAAACGCAACTGACACGCCCATGTTGGGCGCATGAGTTGCACGTGCTCCTGTTGTAATAGAACAAATGATAATCACGAATTTCAGTTGATCTGATTTCTGGGTCACACTATGACCAAACCATTACTTACTATTTTGAAAATTTAAAAACCTAATCCAAACCAAACTGCATTGAATGATTTAGATCGATCTGTTTTGCTGTTCAGGACTTAAAGATTGCCTTTTGTGTCTTGTATTGATTTGGGCCTTTATATATTGTCTTTAAAGGGGAAAAAAACTTAGGAAATATTAGTAATGAAGGGCGGGACAACAAGGAGTAAAAAATTACTTTGATTACCACCAGAGCTTCGTTAAACTTGTGCTATGGGGGCACATAATTTATATATTATATAGACTGGCATAGGCACTCCACAAGCAATAGAGAAGTGGGGAATAAATCTTTGTTGTACATGTCCCATCGGTACACCACTAGGGTGCTTTGCGAAACCGATTCTTTTATAAATTTGATCATTTTCATCTGAATAAGTATCATGTTCATGCAGTGGGTGTTTCGCTGGGGAACAAAATCCCGGAGGAAGATCCTCATCCATTTGTGCTCCATCACAAACTCCGTTTGTTTCAGCTCCCAGAGGAGAGATTTCCTTGGATGGCTTGTCCCACCGACTCTTACGCTTACGTTTACTTTGTGATTCAAGGTAGCGGCAAGATTCCAGTTGATTGAATGGTTCATTCTAACTTTAATGGTGATTAGATGAATAGGATGAATAAGATGAATAATAACTGCTACTTTAGAATAATGTTCACCAAAAGAAAATAAGCCAATTATACTAAATAAACTCTTCATTACCAATACCTAGATGAATAAGTTACCATATATATTGATATTATCAAGGAAAAAATGAAATAAATTATGTATGACAGGCCACTCAAGAATGCAACCTTACATTCTTCGATGATGAGCTCCTACTCAATCACGACACAATTCATACAACCACATGCATAAAAAATTTTGTTTATTGTTTTCTTTTTTTTTGGATGGTGGGGATCATGGGAGTCTAGAGAGGGCTTGTGAATCCCAATATCAAGGAGGAAAAGAACTTGCACGCTTTCCCCTTTCGGAATTCTAGATTGTAAGATATATGTGGAGAGGGAACATAGTTCAAAGTACACGAGAGATTCCAAAAAATAAAAAGACAACCGATTCATTTGCTCTTGTTTAATTTCTGATTGTGGTTTCAATCTATCATTTGGAGAAGAAAAGGGAAAAAATATTGTCAGCTTGGAGGAGGCGTCGGCAACGGAGGGGGTGGAGGGGCAAAGGCAGCAGTGGAGGTGGCGACGACTGAAAACATGGAGGTTGACCCGACTGATGAATCAAGCGTTTGCAACGGGGGAGGTGGATCAGGGGGCCGGAGAGAGGGAACAATTGAAATCAGTAGAACTGAGAACTCTAAAGAGCTGACATCATCAAGGTTTGATGATGATTTAGTTGAAGCAGAAGGTCACAATAAAGGAGAAGATGACGGTGGTAGGGATCACGTAGATGGGATGGAAAAGAAGAAGAAAAAGAAATACCACAGACAATTTACCCGAGAAATAAGTAAGTGGGTTCTTATATTGTATTAACTTTGCCTAGTTAATTTTCAAGGAATTAACTAAGTAAAGAATGGGATATGCGGGTGATAATTATTTTAATTTTAATTTTGAGACATGTTACCATGTTTCTCATCCATGAGCACATGATATGCACGCAATTCTGATTGGTTGAATTTTAAGGTGATGGTTCTGTCAAAAAAAAGGCAACGATATAAATATATATATATATATATATCTATACATATATATATATATATATCTAGTAACTAAATGGTATCTATATTGAATGTTGTGACCGGTCCGGTCTTCTTTGGAAGCCGGCTCTGTATTATGAAATTGCAAACGAAATTGATACTTCTATTTTTTCATATCTGGATCCATTGGTTTCTTAGAAATTCTCTGGGTATTACAAAGATTGATATGTTTCATTAACTGATAGAATAAAAACTGTATATGGAGTATTAGTTGTCATACTCAGAGCCCGCTATCAACAAGTAGAAATAGAGGGTGTTAAACGTTAAACTCTAAAAGAAGAAATCAGCATCTTCTGCACAAAATCAATACATCCGGAGCAGTATCATCTCAGCAAGATTGATAGGGACGAAAAACATAGAAATACAATAACATAATTTAATTTCATTTTGCTTGTGAAACTTTTACCCCGTTCCTCATTTAAAAATAATCCAAAACGGAAGGAGTAGAATGAAAAAACATGACCATGATAACAAAAAAGTAGAAGAATTAATAGAACCTAACTTAGAGTACTATGGATTTGATCAAAGTATAGAATTTATTGGAGTTTTCCTTACATTGATCCGAGGAGTTGAAATTACAAAAGATTGCTTAATTTTCACTCGGATTGATGACATGCTTATCCTTAAACTACGCAGCTAATTTAAAAATTCTCATAAAGTTGTCCACTACTTAAACAATCACTCTTCCTACTACCACATAAGGATCAATATTTGATGCCATTGAATAGGGGAATCAAAGTGATAGGGTAGAAATTGAGAATTTGACACTAGCAGATCTCAGAAAAATGACATAAAGAGAAAGAAATGTTAATGCAGTAAAAGGGTGAAGAAAGAAAGTCCATTACATTCAAAAAAATGCAAACAATAATAGTAAATTACGAACATAGATGCAACCAATAGAACATACACAAGGTGATAAAAATATGGCCAACACGTTTAAATGAAAAAAAATGCACCTTTTAAGAAATTTTATATTCGTACCATAATGTTCTTGACATGCATTCAGAAAATAAAAGTTTTCTTCATATATGTTTAAAAAAAAAAGAAAAAGAAAAGGAAGATAGAGGACATGGGGATCATCGACATTATATTAAGATCGGGCAAATTGAGATGTTATTGTTAATGGATGTATGCGAAAAAAAAATTGTTTATTTTAGCAAAAAACACAGTCTATTTTTTTAATGAGTGTATTACTATTAAAATTTTAAAAAGAAAATTTCTCATGGTGGGAAATTGCAACTGACGTGCGCATGTTGGGCGCATGAGTTGCACGCGCTTCTGTTGCCATCGAACAAATGATAATCACGAATTTCAATTGATCTGATTTCTGGGACAAACTATGACCAAATCATTACTTACTATTTTCAAAATTTAAAAACCTAATCCAAACCAAACCGCTTTGAATGGTTTAGATCGATCTGTTTTGCTGTTCAGGACTTCAAGATTGCCTTGTGTCTTGTATAGATTTGGGCCTTTATATATTGTCTTTAAGGGGAAAAAAAGAATGAGGAAACATAAGTAATCAAGGGTGGGACAAGGAGGAGTAACAAATTGCTTTGATTACAACCAGAGCTTCGTTAAAATTGTGCTATGGGTGCACATATTTTATATATTATATAGACTGGCATAGGCACTCCACAAGCAATAGAGAAGTGTGGAATAAATCTTTGTTGTACATGTCCCATCGGTACACCACCAAGGGTGCTTTGCGCAACCGTTTCTTTCTTAAATTTGATCATTGTCATCTGAATAAGCATCATGTTCATGCAGTGGGTGTTTCCCTGGGGAACAAAATCCCGGAGGAAGATCCTCATCCATTTGTGCTCCATCACAAACTCCGTTTGCTTCAGCTTCCAGAGGAGAGATTTCCTGGGATGTCTCGTCCCACGGACTCTCACGCTTACGTTTACTTTATGATTCAAGGGAGCGGTTAGATTCCAGTTGACTGAATGGTTCATTCTAACTTTAATGACGATTGGATGAATAAGATGAATAATAACTGCTACTTTAGAATAATGTTCTACCAAAAGAAAATAAGCCGATTCTACTGAATAAACTTTTCATTACCAATACCTCAATGAATAAGTTACCATTTATATTGATATTATCAAGGAAAAAAAGAAATAAATTATGTATGACATGCCACTCAAGAATGCAACCTTACATTCTTCAATGATGAACTCCTACTCAATAACAACACAATTCATACAACCATATGTATAAAAAATTTTGTTTATTGTTTATTTTTTCTTGGATGGTGGGGATCATGGGAGTCCAAAGTGGGCTTTTGAATTCCAATATCAAGAAGGAAAAGACCTTGCATGCTATCCCCTTTCGGAATTAAAGATTGTAAGATATTTGTGGAGAGGGAACATTGTTCAAAGTACACGAGAGATTCCAAAAATAAAAAAAAAAACAACCGATTCATTTGCTCTTGTGTAATATTTTATTGTGGTTTCAATCTATCATTTGGAGAAGAAAAGGGAAAAAATCTTGTCAGCTTGGAGGAGGCATCGGCAACGGACGTGGCGGAGGGGCAAAGGCAGCAGTGGAGGTGGCGATGACTGAAAACATGGAGGTGGACCAGGCTGATCAATCAAGCGTTTGCAGCGGGGGAGGTGGATCAGGCGGTCGGAGAGAGGGAACAATTGAAATCAGTAAAACTGGGAACTCTAAAGAGCTGAGATTATCAAGGTCTGATGATGATTTTGTTGAAGCAGACGGTCATAATAAAGGAGGAGATGATGGTGGTAGGGATCACGTAGTTGGAATGGAACAGAAGAAAAAGAAATACCACAGACAATTTATCCGAGAAATAAGTAAGTGGGTTCTTTTATTGTATTAATTTTGCCTAGTTAATTTTCATGGAATTAACTAAGTAAAGAACGGGATATGGAAGTTGACATGGCTGATGAATCAAGCGTTTGTAGCGGGGGAGGTGGATCAAGCGGCCAGAGAGAGGGAATAATTCAAATCAGTTAAACTGAGAACTCTAAAGAGCTGGGATCATCAAGGTCTAATAATGATTTAGTTGAAGCAGAAGGTCACAATAAAGGAGGAGATGACGGTGGTAGGGATCACGCCGATGGAATGGAAAAGAAGAAAAAGAAATACCACAGACAATTTATCCGAAAAATAAGTAAGTGGGTTCTTATATCAATTAATTTTGCGTAGTTAATTTTAAAGTAATTAACTAAGTAAAGAATGGGATATGCAAGTGATAATTATTTTAATTTTAATTTTGAGACATGTTACCATGTTTCTCATCCATGAGCACATGATATGCACGCGAATGTGATTTGTTGAATTTTAAGGGGATCGTTCTGTCAAAAAACAACACAACAGTATATATATCTAGTAACTAAATGGTATGTATATTGAATGTTGTGACCTGTCCGGTCTTCTTTGGAAGTCGGCTCTATATTATGAAATTGCAAACGAAATTGATACTTCTATTTTTTCATTTCTGGATCCATTGGTTTCTTAAAAATTCTCTGGGTATTACAAAGATTTATATGTTTCATGAAATGATCGAAAAAAAAGAATTTTATATAGAGTATTAGTTGTCATACTCAGGGTCCGCTATCTACAAGTAGAAATAGAGGGTGTTAAACGCTAAACCCTAAAAGAAGAAATCAGCATGTTCTGTACAACATCAATACATCCGGAGCAGTATCATATCTGCAAGATTGATAGGGAAGAAAAACATGGAAATGCAATAACATAATTTAATATTATTTTGCTTGTGAAACTTTTGCCCCGTTCCTCATTTAAAAATAATCCAAAACGCAAGGAGTATAATTAAAAAACATGACCATGATAACAAAAAAGTAGAAGAATATATAGGACCTAACTAAAAGTACTCTGGATTTGATCAAAGTATAAAATTTATTTGGAGTTTTGCTTACATTGATCTGAGGAGTTGAAATTACAAAAGATTGCTTAATTTTCACTCAGATTGATGACATGCTTATCCTTAAACTACGCAGCTGATTTAACACTTCGCATAAACTTGTCCACTACTTAAACAATCACTCTTCCTACTACCACAGAAGGATCAATATTTGATGCCATTGAATAGGGGAATCCAAGTGAAACGGTAGAAATTGAGAACTTGACACTAGAAGATCTCAGAGAAATGACACAAAGAGAAAGAAATGTTAATGTAGTAAAAGGGCAAAGAAAGAAAGTCCATTACATTCAAAAAAAAGGGAAAAAATAAGAGCAAATTACGAACGTAGATGCAACCAATAGAACCTGCATAAGGTAATAAAAATATGGTCAATACGTTTAAATGAACAAAAATGCACCATTTAAGAAATTTTATATTCGTAGCATAATGTTCTTGACATGCATTCAGAAAATAAAATTTTTCTTCATATATGCTTAGAAAACAAGAAAAAGAAAAGGAAGATACAGAACATGGGGATCCTTGACATGTATTAAGATCGGGCAAATTGAGATGTTATAGTTAATGGATGTATGCGAAAAAAATTGTTAATTTTAGCAAAAAACACAGTCTATTTTTTAATGAGTGTATTACTATTAAAATTAAAAAAAGAAAATTTCTCATGATGGGAAAATGCAACTGATGCCCCCATGCTGGGCGTACGAGTTGCACGCGCTCCTGTTGCCATCGAACAAATGATAATCACGAATTTCAGTTGATTTGATTTCTGGGTCAAGCTATGACCAAATAATTACTTACTATTTTCAGAATTTAAAAACCTAATCCAAACCAAACCGCTTTGAATGGTTTAGATCGATTTGTTTTGCTGTTCAGGACTTCAAGATTGCCTTTTGTGTCTTGTATAGATTTGGGCCTTCATATATTGTCTTTAAAGGGAAAAAAAGAATGAGGAAACAAAAGTTACCAAGGGTTGGACAACAAGGAGTAACAAATTACTTTGATTACCACCAGAGCTTCGTTAAACTTGTGCTATCGGTGCACATATTTTATATATTATATAGACTGGCATAGGCACTCCACAAGCAATAGAGAAGTGTGGAATAAATCTTTGTTGTACATGTCCCATCGGTACACCCCCGAGGGTGCTTTGCGCAATCGTTTCTTTCATAAATTTGACATTGTCATCTAAATAAGCATCATGTTCATGCATTGGGTGGTTCGCTGGGGAACAAAATCTCGGAGGAAGATCCTCATCCTTTTGTGCTCCATCACAAACTCCGTTTGTTTTAGCTACCAGAGGAGAGATTTCCTTGGATGGCTCATCCCACCGAATCTTACGCTTACGTTTACTTCATGATTCAAGGGAGCGGTTAGATTCCAGTTGACTGAATGGTTCATTCTAACTTGAATGACGATTGGGTGAATATGATGAATAATTACTGCTACTTTAGAATAATGTTCTACCAAAAGAATAAGTTACCACTTATATTGATATTATCAAGGATAAAAAGACATAAATTATGTATGACAGGCCACTCAAGAATGCAACCTTACATTCTTCGATGATGAACTCCTACTCAATCACGACACAATTCATACAACCACATGTATAAAAAATTTTGTTTATTTTTTATTTTTTCTTGGATGGTGGGGATCATGGGAGTCCAGAGTGGGCTTTTGAATCCCAATATCAAGAAGGAAAGGACCTTGCATGCTATCGCCTTTCGGAATTCAAGATTGTAAGATATTTGTGGAGAGGGAACATAGTTCAAAGTACACGAGAGATTCCGAAAAAAAAGACAACCGATTCATTCGCTCTTGTTCTATTTCTGATTGTGTTTTCAATCTATCATTTGGAGAAGAAAAGGGAAAAAATCTTGTCAGGTTGGAGGACGCGGCAAAGGAGGGGGCGGAGGGGCAAAGGCAGCAGTGGAGGTGGCGACTTAAAACATGGAGGTTGACCTGGCTGATGAATCAAGCGTTTGTAGCAGGGGAGGTGGGTCAGCCGGCCAGAGAGAGGGAATAATTCAAATTAGTTAAACTGAGAACTCTAAAGAGTTGGGATCATCAAGGTCTGATGATGATTTAGTTGAAGCAGAAGGTCACAATAAAGGAGGAGTTGATAGTGGTAGGGATCACGTAGATGGAATGGAAAAGAAGAAAAAGAAATACCACAGAAAATTTATCCGAGAAATAAATCAGTGGGTTCTTATATTGTATTAACTTTGCCTAGTTAATTTTCAAGGAATTAACTAAGTAAAGAACGGGATATGCAGGTGATAATTATTTTAATTTTAATTTTGAGACATGTTACCATGTTTCTCATCCTTGAGCACATGATATGCACACGATTGTGATTTGTTGAATTTTAAGGGGATGGTTCTGTCAAAAAACAAGGCAACAATATATACATATATATATATATATATATATATATATATCTAGTAACAAGATGGTATGTATATTGAAAGTTGTGACCGGTCCGGTCTTCTATGGAAGCCGGCTCTATATTATGAAATTGTAAACGAAATTGATACTTCTATTTTTTCATTTCTGGATCTAGTGGTTTCTTAGAAATTCTCTGGGTATTACAAAGATTTATATGTTTTATGAAATGATCGAAAAAAAAATTGTATATAGAGTATTAGTTGTCATACTCAGGGTCCGCTATCAACAAGTAGAAATAGAGGGTGTTAAACGCTAAACCCTAAAAGAAGAAATCAGCATCTTCTGTACAACATCAATACATCCGGAGCAGTACCATATTTGGAATATCGATAGGGAAGAAAAACATAGAAATACAATAACATAATTTAATTTCATTTTGCTTGTGAAACTTTTGCCCCGTTCCTCATTTAAAAATAATCCAAAACGGAAGGAGTATAATGAAAAAACATGACCATGATAACGAAAAAGTAGAAGAATAAATAGGACCTAACTAAGAGTACTCTGGATTTTATCAAAGTATAGAATTTATTTGGAGTTTTGCTTAATTGATCCGAGGAGTTGAAATTACAAAAGATTGCTTAATTTTCACTCGGATTGATGACATGGTTATCCTTAAACTACGCAGCTAATTTAACACTTCTTATAAACTTGTCCACTTCTTAAACAATCACTCTTCCGACTACCACATAAGGATCAATATTTGATGCCATTGAATAGGGGAATCCAAGTGAAAGGGTAGAAATTGAGAATTTGACACTAGCAGATCTCAGAAAAACGGCATAAAGAGAAAGAAATGTTAGTGCAGTAAAAGGGCGAAGAAAGAAAGTCCATTACATTTAAAAAAAGGCAAAAAATATTAGCAAATTACGAACATGGATGCAACAAATAGAATATGCAAAAGGTAATAAAAATATGGCCAACACGTTTAGATGAACAAAAATGCACCGTTTGAGAAATTTTATATTCGTAGCATAATGTTCTTGACATGCATTTAGAAAATAAAATTTTTCTTCATATATGCTTAAAAAGCTAGAAAAAGAAAAGGAAGATAAAGAACATGGGGATCCTTGACATTGTATTAAGATCGGGCAAATTGAGAAGTTATTGTTAATGGATGTATGCGAAAAAAATTGTTAATTTTAGCAAAAAACACAGTCTATTTTTTAATGAGTGTATTACTATTAAAATTAAAAAAAAGAAAATTTCTCATGATGGGAAAATGCAACTGATGCCCCCAGGCTGGGCGTATGAGTTGCACGCGGTTCTGTTGCCATCGAACAAATGATAATCAAGAATTTCAGTTGATCTGATTTCTGGGTCAAACTATGACCAAATAATTACTTACTATTTTCTGAATTTAAAAACCTAGTCCAAACCAAACCGCTTTGAATGGTTTAGATCGATCTGTTTTGCTGTTCAGGACTTCAAGATTGCCTTTTGTGTCTTGTATAGATTTGGGCCTTCGTATATTGTCTTTAAAGGGAAAA